GTTTCTTGGCAAACAAAAAGAGTTCTGAATAAATCAAGTCCAGGTTATGCAGTTATTATTACATGTATGGCCTTTACATACCATGCCATACCATGACACATTTGCTCAAATAGTTGCATCCTTATTCATGCAAATGCTTTGACTACTTTATTTTCTTGTTTTAGGAGTTGTAATATTTTGGAGGAACTAGGAAGCTGATGTCTGATATAATGTTCCTTGTTGCTGCTGTACAGGCCGTTGTACCCTATGAGCGCTCGGCTTTGACCAAAGCTTATTTGTTTCCTCTAGATAAGAAACCTGCGCGACTTCCAATTAGAATCCCAAGCTGTTTCAACAAATAAGAAAATCCCAAGCCAATTTTGGGTGCATGGCATATACTTATTGGCATTCACATTGTTGTTTTGTGACTTTTTATATATAAAAATGGGTGGACACACAAAATAGAAAAGTTCCTTTTTTTTTTTCCTATTTATTAAATCGAACCGGGTTTGTGTTGCATGTATATTTGTTAGAAAACCTTTTTGACTCTTAATTTTGCCATGGTTCCACTACCTAAATTCTTCAATGTTACCATTTAGTGATGGTTTCTTATGTGCTTGATGAAGTTGCATACATCCAGGCAGGTAGCGAACATTGTATTTTTTTGTTTGCATATTTATTTTCAAACTTGCACAATATTTGATAGAACATTATACATCCACGTGCTCTTTATGTGATTATTTGTCTCCCTTTCTGAGCATTATGGATAATCTTTTAGGGTTTCCACACGTGTGTTGGATCTGGTGGTGAAAGGCAAACACCAGAGTGGTCTGAGAAGCAAGGAATTGAGGTATTTCTTGACCAGATCTTTTATTTATTATTTTGTTACAAATATCATGGAAGAGGTTTAAATGTAGTTCTTCAACCATCAGTTGTGCTTGATAGTTGTACCTTATGTGTTGTATATCATTTCATGGAAAGTTTTAGTCCTCTTGTACTAACTGATGTTGTGGCAATGTGACACTTAGGTTTTCCTTAATACTCTTAGGTCTAGATTTTTCTCGTCTATGGTTTTATCAAGCAAAGTTGTTCAAGTGTAGATTTGATTTGTGATTCATTCATTAACCTTGGGTTTATCAAACTTCTTTGTGAGGAATATTATCTTTGCTTGTGTAGCTTTGGTGTGTTACTTGAGAGAAAATATACCAGAAAAGAATTGTTCCTTTGATTTCCAAAAATTTTGCAAGTTCCACATCTAGATGAGTCAAGACTTGGGTTTTTGAATTTCAGAGTTGTTCGTGACCTAGGACTATAGTAGTGATTTCTTTCCAAGTTTCAAGATTGTTACTGACTTGCTTGATAACATCAAGAGATTGAACTCATGATGCCCTTTGATACTGGATTATAGTTTTTATTCATGTATGATTATAAATTTGAATGCTGATTCTTGCAGATGTTGAGACGAATATTATTGAAATCCCTGTCTTGTCATGTTTGTGTTGTCTTTGATTTTAAATAGTTCACAGTGAACATCATATTTATGATTTTTTGAGTTCAAGTTCTTATTCTATTAATGGGGCTGTTAATCAATGTTTCCATCCCCTAAATTTACCCTTCTTGATGGATATAATTGTTATTGGCATCTCCAAAAAACTATTTTCTTCCAAGGGAGCAGGTGTTATGTATATAACGAGAAATGTATTAATCATCTCAAAACATGCAGGGTTATTAGTAATGTGGACATTGTGATATTGTCACAATATTTGAAAGCAGTAATCATCTTGTCAATAAATCGAATTCATATGGAGATTTTATTTAATCGACTCACTCTATCATATTCAAGGATATCTGATGGCAATTCAAAAACAAGATAGTTCTCTTAAATTTTCACTTGATTTTAGTGAATTGGTTTTGATTGATGCTGCCTATCTAAAGGAAGGAGCTAATGTGTTTATGGCATCTCATAGCTGGAACTCTCTGCTACAGTGTTTCCTTTCTTCATCCATTACTGCAACCAGTGTTTTAAAAATCGTCGAGTCCGCAGGGAATCGGCCGATTCGAATCGGGAATCGGTCATCTCGTGTCGGTCCTTTTGTAAAGCCAAGAATCGCCTGGTTCTAGAGAGGAGCCAATGATTCTGCACAGTAAATCGCCCGGTTCTTCGCATCGTGACGTCAAGACCTGCAGTCAAAGGGAACTTTTGTAAAATTCGGGAATTTTCTTCGCATCATGACGTCGGTTCTTCGCGTCATGACGTCAGGACCCGCAGTCAAAGGGAATTTTTGTAAAATTTGGGGAATTTTGAGGAAAAAATCATCAGAGACAAGGAAGCCCACGGGTCCCCGCACGCTTTGCGCAGCCCTAAGTTCTTTCACGCACGTGTGCTCACAATCCACGCGCTTCACATAATCTCATTGCTTCACACATGCTACGAACGGTGAGTACAAAGAACTATTTATTCATATAGATTTGCTTCTCTCTCTTCGATGTGGGACTATGTAAATAGGTAATACGTTAAAATGTTCATATATTATATATTTTGTTAACGGTTTTATAAACATTAAGGTACAAGTGATATATCGATTGTTGTGTGTCCGCATTGTGAGATGGACGTGGGTTTGATTCCTCTCGTTGAGGAGCTGTTTTTTTTTTTGTCAAATTATTTCTTATCCAAAAAATTAAAGGTTTTACAATTTGTCAAATTATTTTCTTATCCAAAAAATTAAAGCTTTTTTGTAAAAAATAAAAATAAAAGGTTTTTATCAATTTCGCTTTTTGTCAAATTTTTTTCTTATCAATAAAATAAAAAGTTTCGTATAAAAAAAATAAAATTTTTTGTCAAATTTTTTTTCTTATAAAAAAAATTAAAGGCTTTTTCTAACAAATAAAAATAAAAGGTTTTTATCAATTTCGCTTTTTGCCAATTTTTTTTTTCTTATCTACAAAATAAAAAGTTTCGTATAAAAAAAATGAAAGGTTCTTATCAATTATTTTTCTTGTCAAAAAAAATAAAAGATTTTTGTCAACAAAAAAATAAAATCAAAAGTTATTGTCAAAAAATTAAAAAGTTCTTATAAAAAAAAATACAACAAGTACTTTTGTAAAAAAAACTCATTTCTTATTTTTGTTAAAATAAGTTCATATTTTTGTTAAAAAAACTCATTTATTATTTTTTTCAAAAATACAAGAAGTATTTTTGTTAAAATAAATTCATACAGAGAAAAAAGACTCAATATTCACATATTGATGAAAAATGATAATTAATAATATAGTACTTTGATTTCTTATTGGATTGTTAAAAACACATTTATAATGAATTTTAATAATTTTTTTAGATTTTTTTAAAGTTTAATCTGACCAACTCGACCGATTTTCGTTCTAGATCGCCGATTCACCGATCCGAATCGGCTTTTGGAGTGCCTGATCCGGGTCACCGATCTGTTTTTTAAACCATTGACTGCAACACTTGTATACTTTTGTTATTTATGGCCCAGGTTTGCCTTCGATTGATGATATGCTTCATTAGAAATTTTAGTTGAAGGAACTCTTTTTTTGCCAAAATTGGCTTTTTAAAAGCTTTTGATATGCCTCGTGGAGGTGCGATTGTGGGGGATCAACCGTTCTCCTTGTTTTTGGTTAAGAGACTTGTGTTGTACTCGGTGACCCTCCAGTCTTTTGCTCATTTTTGTAGACATTGATTGCCATTTAAAGTCACTATCCTAATTAATATCTAGAAACATTATGGATTGCTTTGTCTTAAATATGCGTGCTCTTTTGGGAAAGAAATGAGATTATGCTTCAGTGCTTCATTGTGCATATATATAGAGCACAAAGGGAGAGTGCTTATTTATTGGGTATCTTCAAGGGCTGAGAGAGAGGGACAGTAGCAAGAGATTGGATTTGTGGGTTTGGTAATGGATGTGAGGATTACTCCTAATGTGGTGGAAAGTATATATCCACTTGAGGGAAAGTCGAAGCTAGGTTTGATTGGAGCGCAAAATGATTATGGGGCTCAATGGGTTTGAAAGAGCATTCCTCAACAATGGAGGGATGCTGGTAATTGCTATTAGGGACACCTCGTGGTCTTGCCAATTTAACTTTGAATGGATCCTTAGAAATATTGGGTTGTACTGGGGATTTTATGAGGCCTGAAACCTAAAGAGGAATTGTCCGTCTATGTTGGGTGTTGACTTTAAGGACCTCAGAAATGTCATTGGAGATGGATTCATTTCTTAGTAAAAGATATTTGGGATGGTGGAAGTGAATGATATTCCTTTTATGCCTTGGGGTTGGGGGAAGAGTGTGGGTGGACGTGGTGGCTTTATGGCGATCATAGCAAATTTATAGATTTAACAGTTAGTTGAGAAGTGTATAAATTAGAGTTACTTGACTTCGTACATGTGTTATTTGACGCGCATGTCTACTGCAGTTTCACCTCTTTATGTCTAATGAGCTGGCCGGTAGTCAAGCTAACTTTGGTGTCATTTGATTTTTTTGAGGTAGGGGAGTGGGGCTGTTTTGGAGATGCAACCCTGGTCATGGTTCCCTAATATTTTCTGGGATATTATTGTTAGGTGAAAAGGATCAGTATTTTGTTTGTCTTTATATGTATATGTGCTATGAAATGCCTATTGTGGCACATTCCATTTTAGAAATTGTGTTACTGTTGTTCACCCAGGCCAATGGTGGCATTGACTGCTGTTTTCTTTTTCTTCTGAAGGTTTTGTATGAAGATCCGGTGACAACATTGGATACTGAAGCATAAACTTTAACAACTGCATCTAGGAAACTTCTTAAGTATGGGTCACTTATAATTGCCATACGATGTACTGCTGCAAGGTACTCTGTTCATTTTCTTGATAACAACTTATTTCTACTTTCCTTGGTTGCTGTTTTTCTTTTCAATACATTTTGTATTCTTTAGCGTTTTCTAGATCATTAATTCATTATTAAAGACCTGTAATATACAACTCAATTAACTGTCCATGTAATCTAGGAGGCAGGCTTTCAATTTTAAGTCTGATCGTATTGGAATAGTCATTGTGTTCTTGTACTGGTTTATTTGCATCAGGGAATTTGTAATTTGTTTACTATGGATTCATGTCTCTCTACCTCTTCTCATACTTGTATGCCAGGTTCAAAATATCCTGACACTGATTGCTGGCCTTGTTTGATGCCTTTTTTCTGTGGATGTCAGAGTCATTGTACCAAACTACCCTTGATAACAAGTATATGCACTGAAATGTACCTTACCCGACTGTCACATACGTAGAAAAAGTAAATAGACCTCTCGATAATCTCTTTGAAATAGCTTTTTGGCTTGCTGAATTGTGCCACTCTAGAATGTTGTTTATATTAGAAACTATGAAATTGGAAATACGCTATTTATGGTATTACTTTTGTCATGCCTTGGTCCAGATTACCTGAGGTCATTCGAGGAAACTTGCCTGGCATCCACTACATCCGCGATGTTGCTGATGTTGATATGCTGATTTCTTCATTAGTATGTGTTGCTAATCCTGATACAAAGAATGTTCCTTTATGTTTCAGTTATTGAGCATCTATTGACAACTCACTAGCATTTCAAGGCAGATGGACTTTATTGATATGAAGTTATGAACTGCTCTTTGGTCAGCTGGATGTTACAGAAGTTAGGACACTGAATGATAAACTTACCAAATGGTATAATTCTTCAGAAAAAGAAGAAGAAGAAGAGAACTTACCAAATGGAATAAATACTAAATTCTATGGCTTTGTTCCTCTTGTACTCATAGTAGTTGCTTGTATTCTTTTACTCTTTGGTAAGTTCTACTTATTAAAGAAAATTCATTTTTATTTTCTGAGAGTGAGATGCACTACTCAATGCCATTTCTTTCTTCAGCCTGAACTTTTTTGTCTTAATAATGCTTGTTTTTTAGGAGAAACTCAACATCATCCCTCCTCATGCTTTTCTACTCTCAATGTGGAAGAGAGCAGAGACGGGAATGTTCAATTAATATAACCCGTATCAGTTTTGCAAAGTATTGGAGTCTGGCATCAAGAGTTCCACGTTGAAGATCCATCTTTTGGGGGGAAGCCCACCAAAAGAATTGAACTTGAAGTAGTATTGCAATGTCAAATCCTTAATCAATCAAGTCCAAATCCAAATCTTCTCTACATTAAGGAGATTGGTCCATTTGTTAAGCAACTTATGCAGAGTCACGATGTAGCACGTTCACTAGTCCAACAATATGACCTATAGTTGTTCTTAATAATGACCATACCTTTTTCTTTTTTTTTGTCCTTTTTTTTTTTTTTTGTGATCTGGGTGTAGGGTTTCTGTTTTGTATTTCTTTTTTTCATATGGGTTGGAGTTCCTTGTTTGATAGGTCAAATCTTGACCATTAACATGGTCTCCTTAATCTTTTTCAATAACGTTTTTTTTGTTTTAAAGGTCCAGATTTAACTTGATAATGTTGTTAGTTGAGGAGGATCATATGTTCTAAGATCAATTTTCCATAAATTCTCGACTGGTCTTTATTACAAAAAAAATCAGGGCAGATTGAACAAAAACTCACTTTCAAAGTGCAAAATTGAGGTATTGAGAGCTTTGATGAAAATTTAGAACTTTTTTTAGTGGCGGCTTTGTTTGAAAATATAGCTTGGTATAACCATCACTATAAACACTGTTCTTGAGCTGGAAGCCTTCACATTCACTAAGCTGCAATGTAATGCACAAAAATAGTAGAAGAAAATTAAGAAAAAAATGGGCTAAGCTACTGGTGTACAAGGATATACCTCAATGATGGCCTCAATGGTGGTATACACACATGTCAATATGTGTTTCGGCTTGTAGCTAAATCCTGCTCTGGCTCGGTGCTACAGTTTCTGATATGTCATTTATTTTATTCTGGCATGTGTAAGTTGTATTTTCATCTAGTTAATTTTTTTAAGTTACGGTTATACTGGAATTTCTATATGTCATCCGTGAAATCTTGATATAGAATCTTAGTAATTTTTTTATTGAAAAGGGTGGTTTTCTCAGTTAATTTCCATGCAATATGTTATTCTTCATTGTTACATGTGATTGATGTCTATTGTAGAAGAAAGCTAAAAAGGTAATTGTTATTGGTGGTGGATATATTGGTATGGAAGTTGCTGCAGCAACTGTTGGTTGGAATCTGGATACAACGGTATGTTTAAAGTTATATTTATTTAACATACTGTAATTCTCTGGCAGTGATGATTTGGCAATTATTATTCTACAATTTCTTTCAATAATTACAAGTGGTTTTGTAGATAATGATTCCTTAGAAACATAGTAGATGATGATTTCTTAGAAACATAGTACATTTATATATTTAACTGTTAAATCTGTCTACTTGGCTTCAGCTGGAGCAATTGTGTGTTTGTTACGAAGTTTAGGGGTGGGTTATGTAATTCAGAGTGATGGACACAATTTCCTCCATTAAACATATTGACCTTTTAAAGGGTTTGGCTGTTCCTCCTTGAAAGTAATTGTTGCAATACTAGTCTGTAAGGATTCACCTCAAAAGCTTGCTAGACTAGACCATAAGAGAAATGTTTGTTGTCACCAATTCACCAATTCTTTCTTGGTTGCTATTGGTGCTTCTTCATTGTGATGAATCCTTCCAATGGAACTTGGTTTTTCAAATTGGATTGATCTGGTAAAGATTTTCAGGCTTGTTCTTGCTTGACCATTGCACCCAGGAACTTGTCAATTATAACTTTTAACAATATCATTAGAGCTGGGATTGGGCCAGGGACTTGAATGGTTAGGATGCTAACAATTGCAGCACTACATCTTGAGTTTGAATCTCTCCGCTAACCTACCAAGAAAAGCAGTATTGTACTGACTATATCTGGTGTCACATTATCAATATGTCATTTGTCTCTATTGCTTTCTTTTTGTAGGATGCGACGAAGGATCTCAATACCAACTTTGCCATCCTGAACTTTCTTTTAATCCCAAATCCGCTTCACTAGAACTTGAGATTTCCAAAAGAAAGGGGCAATATCCTTCTTAGATTGGACATGTTATTTTTTTTCAATGGATTCCAAACTCTCATTTTGCTATCTCCAATTGCCACAATATCAAAATTTGATGCACCTGATCATGATGCCTACCTAGCCATGGGGCTTCAGCCTTTCTCAGATTCTTTCCCTTTTCACTTTCCATAACCTCAAGTCTCAACTACAGCACCTGCAGCAGTTGGGAACTTGTCCATTGAGTCCCATCGTGCATAGGATTTTTGTTTAATCCTTGCAGTCTTCCCGTTTACATTCCCTTCCTAAATTACTGTTTTTAATCCCCCGTGGAGGAAAATTATTGCACTAAGTGGTAAATGTTTATAATCCAAGTGCCACTGAAGTAGTTGTCCAAGTCTCTATATCTGATTGTATCCTTATGAACGAGCGACTGTTAGGCATGATGAATTTTGTTTCCTAGTTATCACGTATAGGGATGATTTTCTCTGGTTTAAGTGGCAGAAAGCAGGAATTTTGGACCAGGCCCGGGGGGGGGGCGCAAACTTTCCAGATCTGCAATTACAAAGAAGCCATCCCATTGCCAAGACTGATAATTTAAAAGCATTGGTGAAAAAATTATTGTCACGTTAATGCTTTCATGTCTTCCTCGGAAATAGTTGCTGCATAGGAATATGAACTTTTTAATGATCTATCTCAGGGTTATAAGCTATAGCTGTATGGAAGACTAAATCAAGTCATTGTCTACTGTGGATGAAACAACCATCGTATCCCTCTCTATCCCAATAGAACCTCCTCGGAAATTTATTCTAAAGTGTTGTCTCAGTTATGAACAGATGGCGAGTTGTTATCTAAGGGCTTTTAGAAGCCCTAACGTCCATCCAAAAAGCAATGGTTAAATGCCATTTGGTGAGGGAAACACAAGTTTTCCATTGCTATTTAATCTTGATAGATGTAAAACACTAAATATTTCTGTTTGAAGGCACGATGTGGTTCTTTGTGTTATTGAGCACTAACTGTCTGTAAAAACTCTATGCCTAGTGTTCTGGGTTTCGGTGTTGAGATTTGCCACCCTACTCAAAAGAACAGTAATATCAAATCATTTATTACTTATCCTTGAGAAAGAGGTACGTCTAAAGTATATTTTTTTTCTTTTCACCTTTCTTCTCTGTTTTATCTGAATTTAATGTGCATCTTCTATCGAGCCCGTGCGTCTTCTATCGAGCCCATTTCAGTTGTGTTTGTTCATAAATTTTCAGCATGTGGCTAGATCTTCTAAATTGGGGAGCTTCTCTCATTGGTCAGCAAGTAATTCCAAGTTACTTCTTGAAGTTTGTCATTCTTCATGGAGTTATCATATATTCCTGAATTTGACACTTCATAGATATTCTCCCATGGTGTCAGTTGCTGTGAAGGGTTCACTCGGTCTACCATTTTGGAGGATTACGTGTTAGTAAATCTGCTCTTGTTTCCATTTCTTTCATATTTTTGGAAGAAAGTCTACTAGTTCATTTAGTGGTTACATGATCCAGTCTTCCGCATCATCTATTTCATTAGTTAATTCCAATTCTGATGGCTCTTGGAAGGGCTTAAGTTGTAGATGATTATTTCTAGTTGCTCTAGGTGAGGCTTGTTTTGGAAAATGTCTTAGTGATTCCTGTGAGATTTCTTGATTCATACCTGTAGTTAAATGGGGACTTTTAAATCGCGATGATTTGTTGTTGTAACTTATTATGTTCTGAATAGGTCATATTTCCAGAGGATCACTTGATGCCAAGATTGTTTACAGCTTCCCTAGATAGGAGATATGAAGACCTCTATCAAGAGAATGTGTGAAATTTTTGAAAGTAAAATTTATGTTGCATGTTATGCTATATGCAATATTCGTATCTTTAATGGGCCCTTGTCCATCTACTTGAAAATAATATGCAATATCCATGTCTTTAACAATTCTTTATACTCTTTTTGATAATGAGAATTTTACAACACTTTTTTTATACTTCATTTTCTTGATTAGGGTATGATGGTTGACAAATTGGAAGTTGGTAGTGATGGACGAGTTGCTGCTGTGAGGTTAAAGAACGAATCTCTTGTGGAAGCAGACACGGTAATTGCATTATTTACCCCATTCATTCAAACCACTATAGGATAGGAATTATTGAAGGATAGATGAAGTGACGAACTTAAATATGCATTCTGTTGAAAAAAAAAAACTTTTATTTGCATTGTTGTGGCAATCCTATTGTTTGGTTAAAAAGAAAATTGCATTGAAGAAATAAAATGCAACATTATCAAATCGATATTATTAATTGGGCTCACCCCATGTATTAATACTACGCATGTTATCCAGTTGGATGTTCTAGGAAATATCTTGCTATACACAAGGTTTGTGAACAAGGAGGAAACAAGAGACATGAAATCCTGCATCTGAAGAACCATATGGAAGAAGCTCTTCTGAATCCTTGTGATAACATTAATGTTCGTCTCGTTCAATAATAGGGTGTCATAGCCTCATCTTGAAAATAGTCTGTTCCACTCTGAGACATGCTTGATTTTGGGAGGGTAGGCCAAATAGCAACATCGAAAAGGTCTGACAACATTCCATAGCATTCTCCATGTGATGTGCATTTCACATTGCTGTCAGAGTTGGTGCCAACCCCTTTGGAGTTCCATGAACTATGAGTGCATTGCCCTTAACATTTGCTATCCTCAAACTTTCCTTTTCGATAATTATTCCTTTTGAACTTTTGGCAGAACAAAAAGAACCCATGTTAATTGCTAGTTCATATTTATTAAACATATTGATTTACTTTGATAAGTAATGAAAGTTTTTGAGGTTTGTACTCTATTTCCCTAACTTTGAAGAGTGCATTATTATCTTTGGAGAGTTGATTACTTTATTAGATATGGAAGTAATTTTCCAATTATTGATATTGTTTCTTATCCATTTCAAAACCATTTCTTAAAACATTGAGAATGTGGAACATGAGATGAGCTACTCTGTTCAATTCAAATGTAGGCTATTGTAGGGATTGGAGCAAAGCCGGCTATTGGTCCTTTTGAAATATTAGGATTGAAAAATTTCGTTGGTGGTATTCAGGTTAGTTACCAGAATAACTGTAACTATACCTTTCTCAATTTTCATGTGGATTGAAACTTTTATTTGCTTTGGTTAGTTCATAGATGATTTGCATTCTAATGTTGTAGAGATAGGTCAAACCTTATGTAATTATATTGAATATGAATAGATGTATGCGTGACTTTTTTGTAGTGATTGACACATGATTCAAACCTATGGAAAAATAATTCTCATGATTTCCTTGATAATTAAAGAATATCTTTTCCTATGTTGTATGCCCCGATTTTCTTATTATTTGAAGAGTTCTCATTTCAGTTCTTAAGTGCGCCTAGATTTTCAGCACCAATAAATAACTGAACTACGTAACTAATTTATTATTTATCTTCCATAAAACTTGCACTTCATTTTCTCATAAATTCAATTGACAGCATATATTCATTTACATGTTTTGTTTCTTTTTTATGTATCTATATCCAGCCTAGATGTGCCTCTATTTTATTCGGTAATCAAAGGGGCTGGACAAGTATGTATTTTTGAGGCTGCTCTAATTGACCTGCCATAAGTCAGACTGACTAATTTATCTCCTTTGCCATCGCTAGTAAAATTTCTTACAAACAACAAAATGCCTTTACTTGTTTGTCAGAGGTAGGGGAAAATGGGTAATTAAGCTAACATTTACCATTGCTCTCTTTATTTTATTGTTGGGCTTAATCAAGAATTAAGCTGATGCCTTCATTGACTTTAAATGGTGTGATTGATGGTTTTGTGATTCATAGTGCTGCAAGTTTTCTCTACATATGGTTGTAGTAACTAGTACATCTTTCCCCTATGATAATCTATTTCTCCCCCATTTAGATTTTTATTTTCTTTACATAACTCGTTTAAAGGTACATGATTGCTTTCTTTTCAACACTCATTTCTGCTGAACAACTTAGGAAATGTTTTTCAGGTAGATAGTCAATTCAGAACTAGCATTCCTGGTATTTTTTCTATTGGGGATGTAGCAGGATTTCCTTTGAAGGTATATCTTATCAACTTCAAAACTGCCTTATCTTTTTGTCATAGAACCAAGGATATGCAGATTCACTAGTTTGACATTTTGCAGATATATGACCAAATGGTACGTGTGGAGCATGTAGATCATGCTCGGAAGTCTGCTCAACATTGTGTTAAAGCACTATTGAGCATACACACTCAGCCGTAAGACTAACATTCTATCCCTGATTAGAATCCACGGGACATTATGCCATGCACGACCTATACATGTTACATAGTAAATAACCCGACCATCCATCATCCGTTTTCAACAACAGATGGTGGAGGTTATCTGTACCGATGTGAATATCTGTAACCAGTAATTTCGTTTAATCTCCACCGTCTTTTGTTGAGACCAGATCATAGATATCACAGCTGTAAACCAAATGCACTGTCCGTTATGGTAACTTCCCTCTTATTTATTTGTATCCAAACTGTGCTTTATACCTGTTTCAAGAAGATAACTTCTTACAATTTTGGCCCTCTCGTGAAAACCATATATGAGTACCTACCATACTTCTAGTCTAGGGTATTTGAGTATGAAGGTAGCTCAAGAAAAGTTTGGTGGCAGTTCTTTGGAGATAATGGTGATTCCTAGTAACTTAAGCATGCTTATTTTTCCTTTTCCCTTTTCCTTTTTCTCTTTTTATTGAGCGTATTTGTCCCTCCACAGCTCATATCCTGCTTGATCAAGTGTTCTGATGCTGCCTTTTCATTTTCTTATGTAATCAGTTGGAGAGACAATAGAGGTCGGAGGCTTTGATCCTAAGATTGCTACATTCTGGCTTGACTCTGGTGAATGCTTGTGCTAAACATTTTGATGTTAATTTATCTACGTGCATCGAAGGCCTGCTTATATGTTTATAATTATGTTGTACTACAGGAAGATTAAAAGGAGTGTTCCTTGAGTATGGCAGCACTGAGGTATTACTTAGTGTTCATTTTTTCCTAGATTTACTTTAGGAGTCCTTTTTCTCTCAAATTGTTGATCATGTTTGCCTATTACACTTGTATAAAAACAGAAATTGAAGTCAATCATTGTCCAATATGATCCTTCCTTTTTCTCTCAAATTGTTGATCATGTTTGCCTATTACACTTGTATAAAAACAGAAATTGCAGTCAATCAGTTTTCAATATGATCCTTAGATCATATTAATGTGATCAATGTTAGAATTAGAGACACTTGGACATAATTCCTTTTATTAGAATTACGAATTAATCCCGTTGTGCAAAGAACATAGGTACCCATGTACAATAATATGGCAAAATAAACGGCAAACTAATCAACAAACTACAATGACTAAAGTACATGTCAGTTTGTTAGCAAGATAATCATGTCACTGTTCAGTAAGCGCTTTGGTAAATAGGTCAGTAAGTTGATCTTCAGAAGGAGTATCGAGTGAGTGAGAAGGTCATGATTAAATCTTTCTCTAATGGGATGACAATGAACCCAATATACTTGGGTCTGATCATGAAATATAGAATGAGTGAAAATCCTAATCAGACAAAATATTCCCATGGCGCAGGCTATGGAGGAGGGACACCCAAACAAGAAAGTAAGTATATTGATCTAGAGAATTTCATCAGAGGCAAAAGTCATATCACATTACTAAGCTTCAACCATTGCTTTGAAACCACATCTTGTTTCTGGAACGGTCGAGAAACAAGTGAATTATCGGGAGTAAGTACAATTCCTTGTTGTAAATCCACAATTGTTTGGACAGCCAGCCCAGTCTGAGTCAGAAAATGCAACAAGCTGAAGATAAGATGATGCTGAAAAAAAGAGATCACGGTTAGCTGTGGTTTGGATAATTCCGTACGATGTAATAAATCACCATATGAATTGCGAGGAGCCTAAACAAACTGGCTAACAAAATAAAATGCATAACTGATATATTGCTTACTTGTGCCTAGTAAGAATGATCCTCAAGCAGATCCAGTAATTTTTAAAACAAGAAAATATAATGAAAGTCCAATGTCTTTCACTTGAAACTGCTGCTATAAAGCATGTTTTATATAAGAAAATTGTAACTATACTATAACCAGTAAGAACAACTTAATCGACATAGACAAGCAACATGTTGCCTTCGAGCATGAGTAACACACAGTGTTTCAAAAAGCGCTAGGCGGCACCTAGGCAGTCCAGGGGGTTCAGGCCGCCCAGCGCCTAGGCGGGTGCCCAGAACCTGGGCGGCCAAATAAAAAAATATTTATTTTTGGGTTGTTTCTCTCTAAAATAGCCTCTAATGGGTTTTAGGTTTCAAATGAACCTAAAACCCACAATTTTACCCCTTCAGTATTAAAAAAATGATCCAAAAATACCTTTAAGGAGTTGCATTTCCACCTTTGGATGTGGTGCAGGCCCTGGCAGCCGCCTAGGCAGGTTCAGGCGGGCGCCCAGGGATATCCGCCTAGGCGGGCGCCCAGGCATTGGGCGGTCTGCTTTTTGAAACAATGTTAACACACTAATAATTTAGGACTTGTGAGACATTGTGTGAATCCCCCTGACTGGAAACTAGTATGAAATAATGGAACCAAGCTTGAGGAGCTTGTTTGAAGCCACAAATGACTCCTTTTAGCCAGCAAACCAAATTAGGGGGGCCATGTATCCTGGATTCCTGGTAGAGGATGCACATAAATTTCTTCTTGAAGAATGGCATTAAATCATTACCCACATCTATTTGATGCAAATTCCAATGTCTCATAGCTGCAACCAATGGTTTAAAAAACGGATCGGTGACCTGGATCGGGCTTCCAAAAAACCGATCCGGATCGGCGAATCGGAGATCCGGGTCGGGAATCAGGTGAATCGGTCAGAATAAAGCTTAAAAAAAATCCGAAAAAATTATTAAAATTCATTATAAATATTGTTTTTTAGGAATTCAATAAAAAGTG